CATTACACTACACTACATTACACTGCATGACACTGCAGCACAGATAGACAGGTAGACAGATAGACAGATAGATAGATAGACAGATAGACAGGTAGACAGCTAGACAGATAGACAGATGAAAGAGAGAGAGAGATAGATAGATAGGTAGATAATGGTAGATAGATAGATAGATGGATGGATGGATAGATAGATAGATAGATAGATAGATAATTAGATGAAAAAGAGAGAGAGAGATAGATAGATCGATAGATAGATAGATACATAGAAGATAGGTAGGTAGGTAGGTAGATAGTCAGAGAAGGAGAGAGAAAGAGAGGAGACCTCAAGCACCTTTCGGTCCATCAGTGGATTCGCTCTGCCATCCCTGATTCACAACAACCAACCTCTCCTATAGGTTTCCTATTTTTGAAACTTCCGCCACCGCCTTGTGCGGTACTACTGGTGTGTGTATATGAATATGTATATCTATATATAGTTCAGTCGTGGGGTCGCTGGTGCAGTCTCCGCGTGATCGGCAGATGTTCAGGACCACATGGGTCTTTCATTCTGATGCCCGTGTATCTTCAAGTGTTGACCAAGTGTTGGAACTGACTTGCTGACTTGAGTGACTTGAGTGACTTGAGTGACTTGAGGGACTTGAGTGACTTACACCCAATATTTTTCAATCTGAAGCCGTTGCCTGCCTCGTTTTGCGAGGCCTCAGACCTTGTGTTTCCTGAGCAGAGTGCAGGCATGCGTTGTGGACTTCCAATGATTCAGTCCAAGTCCGATATTCATATGACAATATATGATGATATGATATGAGAATATGATATGTAGTATGTATGATAGTTGTATATTAAGTTGTATATTAAGTTGTATATTAAGTTGCATATTAAGTTGCAATATGGCAAAATTTTTCACGTTTTGGAGATCGCTGCATATTGCATGTTTCTCACACGTGTTCCTGGCCTGGCAGGGGAAAATCTGGAGCTGGGGTCGCGAGCAAAGCACTTGGCGACCTCATTCAGTGGCCGTGTCCTCAACGCTGTGGCAGGTTTGTTAAAGGTTTGTAAGCAAGATAGTACATGATAGCACATGATAACACCATCCCACGTCAGAATTGCAGCTAAGCTAGCTAAGCTGGAAAGCCAGTGTTTGGGAAGTGCTTTCTATTGTTTTACCAGGCTGTTGAAACAAACCAATGCTTTCACACGTGGTGGGAGTGGGTTCAGACTGTTTCAATCTCTTCGATTTGACTCACGTCACCCTTGTGATGAGCAGGTGTTACGGCGCTTGAAGCTGACAGGGATCCAAAAAACATTAGACTCATTAGACTCACTTTTCTCGTGGCATGCCTTGCCAAGTCCTGTTGAGCTGCCAAGGTCATGGAGGGGACCACAATGCCATCGTTGTGTCTTGTTGTGCATGATGGCTGTGGATTCCAATTCTGGCACATAATCAAATTGCTTCAACCCTGGTGATCTACCTCTGTCTTGCTTCACTCAGTTTTGTTCTGGAAAATACTAATTACGAATCAAAGTAGAGCTACAGAAAATGGACTTCTTGTAGAAGTTTTGTCTTGGTGATGAACCAAAGTAGGCAGTGCTGACTTTTTGGCCCCGTTGCCATTGGCTTCGCGAATTGAAGGGTTACTCTTGCCTGGGACTCGCAATGCAGGGGGATCTGCGACTCTTGCTCTCAGACCCCGGAAAGATCACAGAAGCCTCAGTGCCTTGACTTCGTTGACTTCGGCAAGTGAAGCTTTGACCGGTGTCACAGGGGAACAAGCAAGTTTCATCTAGCGATGTCAAAATTGATTTCAGTCAGGGAAGCTTGATTCTATAATTTTTCCCCCTTTCTTACGAAAGAAATTTCACTTGTTTTGGACCTCATTTTGTATGCTTGACTTCTTCTGCCGCAGGTTTTTGCGATAGTAGATCTCCAGAATGCTTCATATCAAAGTCTTTCTTGGAGCGAGACGAGTAGATGTCATGGCTTTTGATTGATTCCGTTTGAGTTTACGAACCTTCAAGGTACTGGAAACTTCCGGCATGATTAGACCCCAGCTTTTTGCATTCACTAGCTGCTTCTCGTATAACAAGCGAAACAACATTTGAAGCCAGTCCACATCTTCAAGCGCCTAGTTCTACCTGATTCCACTGGTCAAACACCCAGTGATATTGCTCCAACCCAAGCGATTGACCCCCCCCAGCCAAGGTCTGGGCTAAACTGATGACTGACGCAGCTTGGCGTGAAACAAGGGGCGGTAGGCACCATCAGTGCTCCTCCTGGATGGAGCACTTGTTGCGGGAATTTGAGGATAATTTTGGTTTGGGATCGGTGCAGAGGCCATGAAGTATGGGATTGACCAATGGTTTGGACCCACAGACCGAGAGGTGTGCTTCCGTTTCGAAAGCAATTATTTTTTGTTTACAGATTTTTGTTTGCAAAAACCAGCACGGTGTTCTTCCGCACAAACCAAAGCCCGCCCAAAGCCTCTTGCCCAGATGGTTTAGTTACGGTGAGTCATTTTTAGTTCGAAGGTTCTTCTAGGACAGAGTGGATGGTGCTTGACTCTGTGATCAGTTTGGCTTTCTGTATCAACTTACGCATGCTCTAATAATACACAGACCCTGCACCAACACAAATGCAAGCGTACAAACACACACTTATGCATTTTGGAGGATGCCTGGTGAGCGGTTTGAATTGTACAGTAGGAGGTCCAAAGGCAAAGGTGCTGTTGACTCTTATTGATGCACAAACCTTGTGATGCCTCATCCAGAGCACCTCAGTACATCAAGAAGTTCCTTCAGGTCTCCTAAATCATAGCTATTCTGTCAACAGCATCAAAGTCTCTCAGAATCCTTGCCAACCTTTTCTCGTGAGAGGATCTTCCTGAGAGGTTCTGAATCTCATCAAGGCCCCTTTGCAAAGGCAACAGAGACATACAGAGACTACAGCATCTGCAGTTCACTGATTCCCGATATTCCGGATATCTGAGATTGAACCGCTTGGCCTTCACTCCTGGAAATCCAGCACTCGAGCAGTCCTGGGTTTCCAAGCTTATCAGCAATCAAACAGCTCGCTCAAAATGAAGCACGCAAAGCAGTTTTGATGACGTTGGAGATGCTGGAGGCCTTCAACAAATGAACACGGCAGCAACATGCAGCAACCAGAACTAGAGACATGATTGAACTGCATCGATTTTGTTCCAGACCTCTGCATCGTCTCGTGTTCAGATGTCAGCATTTTGTCGTCCCATTGCCCCATTGCCCCATTGCCCAAGGTAGCCGTGGCTGCCAATTTCGGGGTGTGTGAGCCCAGGGTCGGTTGGAACAACCTTCGGATGAATTTGCGAAGGTGTAGAGACCTGCTGCGACCAGTCCTGGTCGCAAAAAGCCCTGTGATGCCTGATTTTCCAACGTTTCGAGATGTTTCAAGATGTTTCAAGGTTGGCCATGCTAACGTGTCGACATCCTTGTCTTGTGCCAAGGCGCTGATCCTGACGTTCCTCGGTGCAGCTTATCACGCCTATGGGTATGTGCAGCTTCGAAATGCGCAGAAGCAGGCCATTCTGTGGGCTGGGAATGCAAGTAGTCATTACCTGTCGTTCCTTAGTACATTTTGCTATAGTTGTTACATGTTACATTCAGTCGTTACATGTTACCATGAAATTCCATCTGAAATTCAAAGGATGTCTCAAACGGAGGTATCATGAGATATCATGAGATCCAAGCGACGCACCACCCAAGCCCTGCGAGGCATCTCGCTCCCAGGGAGGAGGTCACGGACATCACGCGTGACGATTTGGAGTACGAAGGATTGGGACTGCAAGTGGCACAACTTGTCGCACTCCTGGGTTCCTGGGTTCCTAGGTTGGTTTCCTGGGCACTTGGGTTGCTGTGGACCTGAACTACATTAAACAAGAGCCGTGGCAGAGCATAGATGTACTATTACTATAATGCTACAAATCACAGTCCATAGTTTCGTCAAGTTTTTTCTCAGCTGATTTGTCCTGCGTTGCAAGTTGCAGTTTGGGAGCTGTCAAGGCTGCCAAAGCGCTAGGATTGCTTGGAGTGCTTGAACGTCAATGACGCGATGAATTTGAAGACTATGGCACCACCCAGAACCTGATGAGTGCGCAAAAAGGGCGTGCTGTCTTCCTCAACTGACAAGTTTAATCCTGCACGTACCTGCATGATATTGATCACACTGATCACACTGTGTCCGGACAGCAGTTGAGCCTGATGAATGCAAATAGTGATGGCATTGCTTTTGTTATCCGATTTTGAGCGCACATGAAGATGTGTGGCACACAAACACACAAATCGTATTCAGTTGAGTTGACCGGAATGAGAATGAATTCTGTGGTGTTCAAGTCCCTACACATCGAGCTTCATTCAAGTGAATTGCGATGCACAAGTTTGTGGGTTAGTGGCTAGCGTCACACTCTGGTACATTCTTTTTCAGTGCATCAACCATGCAGCAAGCATATTCAAGATTCTCCTTACTGCCAAAAGTGAACAATGGGATCCTGAACTTTGCAAGAAGTGTTCGGGAGGTAAGATTCTGAGCGGAGCTAAACTATGCCCCGTGCAGGGGAATGTCGTGCATCTTTGACTGCAGCACCAGTGCGGCTCACTGCTCAATAGATGAATCCTGTTGGTACCAGCAAGAGCAAGAAACGCCAGCAAGGGCTCAAGTTAAAGGACGAAGGAAAAAGATGCCAGCAGACGTAGGAATTGTAGTGGCTTGTTGGAGCCCTCGAACATCCTTTCTGTTTGTTTGAAAGTTGACCAGGTCGCTAGCCGAGGGCGAATCTACCAAAAAAACAAGGGACGGGCTCACCCGGCTCACCCGATTCCTGCCATGGTAATTGCTTTGAACATCTTCAACTGCATACAGACACGTGGCAATTGCGACATATTACAACTTCAGGTGGAGATTGTATCATTTATATTATATAGTTCACTTGGAGGAACGCCAAATTGGCAGATCGCCCCCCAGGGTGACCTTGGTGAACACCCGTTTTGCGATGCCCTGATGGCGGCACCTCATCCCCATGATACTGACTTGTCAGCGTATGGAACTCAGTCTCTCTTGGAGGGACACCTGGCGATGTACCTGTGTTCAGTCGTTTTCGTTTCTTTTGTTTGCCCTGCAAACTAAGGCTACTGTTCTTTCTGTTCTTTCTTCATCTCTGGGGGTCTTTTCAAAAGGGCCTTCTTCGAGGTCTCTATGCCTAAAGTATTGTAATATTATTGTAATTTATGTTTTGTTATAATCTTTTATTTTTGGGAACCTTGGGATGATAAATGGCAAGACAATACCACGCCCATCGCAAAAAATATCATGAATCTATCATAATTCTCTTGGGGATCTGCAAATTAATACTTTGCACGGGGATCGGATAGCAGCGCAACACCTCATTTGAACCAGTTGCGGAAGGCGGCCAGGCTATCAAAATTCGCAGATACAGATGATGCAGTTGTGAGGCAACAGGCGATGCCACAAATCCCGTCTCTTGCTTCAAACCACTTCAGTCAAAACATCGCCAGCGGCAAGGTTTCATGGCTATGCGAACTTCGCGAGTTGGGCAGCACATGGCTCTTTCACCAAAGTTCGCAGCCCGGTTTGGCGGGGGAGGTCACACACACGCACACACACACACACACGCAGAGGAAAAAATCTGCAGACTTGCAACAACAAAACTGAAAACCCACCGTCTGGGTTGGGAATTTCCCCACTGCCAGTGTCATTGAGGAATACCCGCTATTTTGCAGACATAGTATAACATCGTCAGCATAGCGGGACCACAAGCAGTTTCCTGGGATTCCAATGCTGTAGATTCAGTGGCTTACAATTGATGTGTGTTTAAGGGGTCATATATTATAGAACCCTGGTCACTCTAGAATTTGTGGCACGTCGTGACTGTGGCCCCCACTATGGCCTGCCGAGCCAAACTCCAGTCAAACTCCGAGGTCAAAACTCTAGCGAATGCCATCCATGGAAAGGTCATCCTGCATCGTTGGATGAAGCCCAATGGCATGGACAGGGGATGGGCTGGGATAGCTCATCCATGGGCCTGACCTCTTAGCTTGGAGTGATACTGCAGAGATCTAGAGGATTTATCAAGATTATATAGTGAGGATTCATGCTTTTAGACGTTTTTTGCTCCCCTTCACACTTCGGGGAGAATCAGGGTGATTCCACATTGAATATTCTTTGTACACCCTAATCCAGTTTTCTATCACAAGTTGGTGCAGGTTTCGTTTCGAAGAGCAATGGACTTGAAGGGTTCATTGAGCAACGCATCTCTTCGTTTCTGTATAATGATGCAGGAGCTGCAAGAGGTCCTTATCTTCAAGTACCACATAGTAGTATTCAATAGCAAAGTGGGTCGTCACGTTTCATAGCAGCGTCGCTACATGCAAGGGTCTCTGGACACGGGTTGCCATGCGTAACATAGAATGAAAAGATATGAAAAGATATATAGCTAGGTGTCCGATGGAGATGCTTGGAGCCAGTTGGGCGAAATCCCGACTGGTTGATTTGATGGTCCGTTGAACCCCTTGTGTCCGTTGCGCGAGCCTGATGAACGTGTTCAGGAGCAGGACGTGGTGGTTAAGAAAATGCCACGCTGGAACCTCAGCCACCGTCATAGGGAAGGGATCCTCTGGGTTTTTGGTGTGGATGTTGCACCCTATGGGAATCGAACCTTGCCATACAAAATCCAGTTGAAATATTTGCCTTGATTTAGCAAAGACTGTCATGTCAGTACCGTCTCATTTTGATTCACATGAGTTCAGGGCTGGCGAGGATGTTTTATGGCCTCTTTCCCCAAACATTCGCATTTTGGAGAAGTTGTTGTCTGAACTCGTTGGCAGCCCCATCCATTCATTCATTTTCCTAGAACACAATAGGTCTGACAGCCCCTTCTGAGCCAGACAAAAGACTGGGCACTTTGCACATGTTCTATAATATATATATATATATTATATTGCTATGCATTTCAATGCATTTCTTTGGATTCGTATGCATTTCTTTGGATTCGTATGCATTTCTATATATATATATATGTTTTTGTAGGTATCTTGAACATAGAAAACCGGATCCAGCCGAAGCGGTGCGCAAGGCGAGAATGCAGGGGTGCCCAGCCGACCTGAGTCTATCGCACCTCAAACCGTGTCCAAAAGCAGGTCCACTTTGAGCCCGCTCAAGTTGATGAGAAGAGTGTGGTTCAAAATTGGCTGTTCTGTACCAGTTCTGAAGCAGTTCCGAACCACATGCTCTGTTGCCATGTATACCATGAGTCACAATCGAACAGGGGTTTTCTGCTATTGCAGGGGGTCCAGGAATGTTCCTGCGTGCCTGAGTTAATGCCTTGGGTGTTTAAACTCGCTGAGGTGCTTCAAAACCAGGGAAAGTGGACCAACGACTGGACCTCAAAGTTCCAGCTGCACCGATCAACTTTGCTACGTGCAGGGTTCTGGCTGCCATCTTGGAACAGGTTTTCCTCAATACAGAGTAGATGCTGATCATCAGTTCTTGCTTCACATTCCAATCATTCTAAAGGCTATGCCGATTGATTTTGGAGCAACCTTTGGGCTCCAACAGAGAGCAGATTGCTGTACCGTGAAGCTGCGATGAGAAGTATGTGAGAAGATAGCCCCAGCATGCCCCAGCTTATCTGAGGAGTCGTGGTCTCACCGGAATCCTCGATCTATGCATTGCCCTCACCCAGAGGAGCCAGTGGATTCAAGTTTTCCGATTTTTCAGCTGCCTCGAGATTGTTATATTATATTAGAAGTATGTATAAATAAGTTATGTTGGAGATATGTTGAGTTTCTACAAGCTTTTAATCGTGAGCGCGTCAGTATCGCGTCAGTATCAAATTGTTTTGCCTGAGAACCAGCTTCAAATGGTTTCGTATAGTAGAAGAAATGCGGCAACTTTCCGATGCCTTGAGCCCAGGAAAGTTAAGCAGGACTTATTCCAGTGGTGAGAGAAGTTGTGAACGGATTTCTGCACGAGAGATACCAAAAACACAAGTGTCAGAACACTTTCCCCTAATATTTGCAACAGACTCCCTTCCAGACCCATGCAGCAGGATGCACTCACCGAAATTGGCGTACTATCCTATCTGAGGCCCAGAATCGGAACGAGGGGCATTGGAGTGATTGAAACAGAGTCAAGGGAAGGACAGATTCAACATTTTTGCTGTTTAAGAAACGAAAAGAACACCGCTGAACCCTGCGAAACTCTCGGTGAAGAACTTGTCAAAGTCATCCTCTAGTCTGTTTCAACATGTCACGAAAGGTAACCTAGGGCTACCTGAGTTCTATGTACTTTAGTACTAGTTTAGTACTGGGGGAGGTGGTTGGCCCTTTCCTGGAAATTGACGGCTGGAAGTAAGGAATCTCCACATAAGGGGGGGGGCCCCCTTAACCCTTCGAATCTTGCCTGGTCCGGATTGGAAAAACTCCCGATGTATTTGATGCTATGCATTTTGTTTACGGTTGGCCTCATGGAATTTCCACGGTTTTTTGGTCAGTTTGTTTCAGAGTACGGCCTGGTCTCCTTTTCAATCTTCGATTGCGTCGACAAAACTCATCCCGTGGGCAGCGTTGTTTTGTGTAGCCAATTTTTGGCTTTAATCACGAAAGGTAGCAGCCAAAAATTACAATTTCCTAGATATGGGTTACTGTATTGTCATTTCCTGGAAGGAAGGAAGGAAGGAAGGATGACTTGCGTGTGCAAAAGTTTTCCTCTTTACCTCGACCTCTTCTGATACCCCTCAGCGCACGCGCATCTTGTTTCAACAAGCACACAGGCGATTCCAATCCATGTACGTTGCGTTCTAAACTCATGGTGGAAGAAAGTCCATTGCAATGGCTGTTTGCACTTGCCTACTGTGATGCTGTTGCCATGGCAATTTTTTTCTGCTCAATAAGACGTAATTCGGTGCTCTACGCGTATCACAGACACGCAGCTGAGCTCCATGCTCCAACTGGAATACTTCTACGAGACCACCCGATGTTCTTCACAGGTCATGGACAATGCCCATGTTAGATAAGAAAACAATAGCAGTATGTCCCTTCGCAGCGACGCTTATCCCTGAGCCACAAGCCTTTTAATAGTTCCCACGAACCAAGGACGGTTTCGTCTCATGCAATTCTTGATGTTGCTTTTGCTTCAGACATCCTCACGCACTTAGCCGCACGAAGGTTACATCCCTAAAGACCTATCCCTACACGCAAAGTGCCTCAACCGAGCGTCCATCGGTTGAGGCACCTTGGCCCCTTTAATTCACATAGCTGGCCAACAAACTGACTAACATTATCTTGCTTGTGGTTCTTATTACTGACTATGGCACAGGGTGGGTGGAATTTAGATATTGAGACAAGATGCACGCAAGAAGTTGTTGATGCCGGGGAAGTTCGGATATTGCAACAACGAAAACGTAAGAAGTGGTGGAGAGGCCAACGGGGGAAGTCTACGTATGAAGCGAAATGGATGCAGGAAATTGAGAGGCACCGAGGAGGAAGGGAAAGTTCGATATTGAAACAGTATGCAAGTTTCAACATGCTTCAACTGTTTGCTGATATCGATTTCTGCATCAAGGCAACAAGAAGATCTACCGCTCTTTTTGCACCTCGCCGGCACCTTCACCACGACGTGCTTCAGGGGTGGCTGGGAGCGAGGAAAATATATCACCTTGGCCGCACAAAGAGAACCCCCAAAAGACGCAGCACAAAAGAGTCTCTTGATTAGATTTAGGTTGGCTCTGTGACACGTTTATGCTAGCAGCGGCACGTAGATTTCGACTGAATCAAACCTAAAGGATACATTCTGCGCAGAAATCCAACCACAAGACAGAGAGAATGATTGGCTGGCACGACATTTTGAGGTTGCGAATGATGGGTTCCTTCACTGACGGTTGCGGCACTCAGGGGCTGGAGGTCAGCTCTCAGATGGCGATTCTTTGCTTTCTCCTCTTCCTCGTCTTCCTCATCTTCCTCAAAAACAAACCGGACATCTTTCACGCTATCAAATTTCGTCTTTATTGTTTTTTGTACCGAACATAGTGCGCTCAGGCACTAAGTTCTGGAGGCCATTCCGTGGAAGTCGTACGGCGTCATCCTCCTGAGTTGTGCTGAGGTTGCAATGTATTTCTCGTGACCGAGTTGATTCAAGATGGCGAGGTGTTCCAACAGGTGCCCCGGCTGCCATGGCTGCCTGATGTCACATGAGGTCTGACATGTGACACTGAAGTGATAGTGACATATTGTGTACGGTTTCACGTAGCCTTGGCGTGGAGTGCTTCAACCGTATAGGACACAGGTTTACCAACCCAAAATGTGGACCATGTTCATGTGCACCGAAACTGAGGGCGCCCAATCATTATCCAAGAATGGTCTTTGGGAGGAGACCCAGGTGTCTTAGGGCGCTCCCAATCAGTATTGAAACATCGGGTACTACCTTCCCGAAGTCATAGTGAGATTGATGGATTGATAAGATATGGATTGATGATGATTGTATAGTTGTATGCTGCTTCACATGGAATTGGCTCACGGGCCTTAGATATGCTTCCGATGATTTGCGGCATGTGCTTTCCTCGTGCCCGCCTGCAGCCGGTCGGTGAGTGGAATTATTGCCTCGAGTGAACTGGATCAGATATAAGACGTATGCAAACAGACTGCCAAGTGGCTTGCTCAGAAATAGTTGAGATTGTTTGGACCTACCATCTTCTTTTTGATTCTCTCCCATGCTCCTCCTAATCGACATCAACATCAACATCCTCATTCTGATCCTCCTCCTCGCCACCACCGCCACCACCACCACCACTGCCACCACCACCACCACCACCACCACCACCACCAGCATCAGCATCATGAGCATCATGGGCATCATGAGCATCATGAGCATCATGAGCACCATGAGCATCATGAGCATCATGAGCATCATGAGCATCATGAGCATCATGAGCACCATGAGCACCATGAGCATCATGAGCATCATGAGCATCATGAGCATCATGAGCACCATGAGCATCATGAGCATCATGAGCATCATGAGTATCATGAGCATCATGAGCATCATGAGCATCATGAGCATCATGAGCATCATGAGCATCATGAGCACCATGAGCACCATGAGCACCATGAGCATCATGAGCATCATGAGCATCATGAGCATCATGAGCACCATGAGCATCATGAGCATCATGAGCATCATGAGCATCATGAGCATCATGAGCATCATGAGCATCATGAGCATCATGAGCATCATGAGCATCATGAGCATCATGAGCATCATGAGCATCATGAGCATCCTCCTCCTCCTCCTCATCATCATCATCATCAGCATCAGCGTCAGTGTCACTACCACTGGTGATATCACCACCTAACCGTGCCACCCTACCTTCCACCACAATTCTTCGTTTATTACCGCGTTTGTAACATTTTTCGTTGCCACTCCTGGAGTTTTGAGGTCCAAGACCGTCACTTAGACAACAGTGAAGGCGTACTCCGGCAGCTTATGCTCCTTGGCTGAATGGCTCGGGGATGCAGGACAAGAGTCTTGCAGTAAAACGTCCGGATTTGTGGGAGACACGGAGATCCAATAGATCAGTGAGGTTCAGACCATAGAGACCCACAGAGTTTATACATTCTTGGCATTCTTGCTGTTGTGATCAGGGTGCCACTTGTTTCAAGTGGACTGTGTATATCCTGCGTTAGTTGGGCCTGCAAAGAAAGATTGGAAAGGAAACACCCGCTGAAGCCAAGCAGAAGTGGTCCATGCGCATTTTGATGGATCTTGATTGTCTGCGGGTAAGGTGGCAGCTCTTGCATGCCGTGCGGTATCTGCATCACCATGACATAGGCTGCGGGCGGGGGAAGATCTCTTCGTAAGTCTTTAATGCATTTTTTTTTCAAGAGTGGATAACGCAACCGAGGAGTGGTCTAGGAGTCAACAATTAGCATCTGGGTGTTTGATCCACAGCAAGGTGTTGCAAAGAATCTGAGCTTTGTGCGGTGTGCACGTCCTGTTGAAGGACAACTTTCCAAACAAACATGGTAGAAATTGGGTTTATGATGGTTTATGCACGTCCATCAAGACAAAACACAGGGACACTTAAAAATCTCAGATGGAAAGTTTTCTTGTTGATGGAAAGCATTCTGTTCTACTCCAAGAAGATGCTAGTCACTTTCCTTCTCTTACTAAGTCTTACTCCCAAAGACTGCACCTTCACAGAAATCCTAGAGCAGGAATGAGCCGGTAGTGAGCAGGTCAGCTGGACATAGTTTAGGGACTGTTTAGGGACCGTTTAGGGACCGTGCCGAGGGATGTGTTTTGAGTTTGGGCCGGCCTGGGTTAAGTCGGGTGAGTCGGTGAAGTCGGGTGCTCAGTCAGGTTAAGTGACACGGTGCGCCAGGTCACCGAGACATCTCCCTGGAAAACGTGTTGATCGCCATGCCAGCAGAGCCTGCGACTTACTGTATATACTTAGATATTGAATTTAGATACCAGTACAGAGCCAGCAGATGCAGAACAAGATGCTGTATAACAGATGCGAACAGCCATTTGTGTCCATACCTGCATTGATTTGGGTTTACACCAAGTTGCTGAGATTTCCTGCTTCCTCAAGGGCTTTCAAATCTGACTTATGCTGAGTTTCATTGCAAAATGCTCCAATGCGGAGCGGATTTGGGTTTCAAGCGAATGACATTAAGAGCATTCAGAGCAGCAGCGGCAGCAACTGGTTTTCTTTGCAGGTAGATATTCCTGCAGATTGGGAATGTTGAGACATAAAGACATGACTTACATGTATATAGAGAGTTTCAACATCTCATGTGTTCCAAAGGCTGTAGTTTGAGGCAAGACATTCTTTTTGGTTTGAAAGTCATCTGGCTTTCGCTCTAATACGTCTGGTTCGAGGACATGGACCCAGTAGAACAAACCCACGGACGCGGAACATTTTGAGATGAGCTTCTAGAAGCACACGTAGACGCTTCCAAGACTTGGGTGCTTGCCATATTTTGCCATATGTTGCCATACCTTACTTGCCATATCTTGCCATCTTATTTTGACGGAGTAGACACCTCAAGTCTCAGGGGCCGGCCACCGTCTCTTCGGCTCATGGACTTTGGCCAGGCAGTGTGGCACCCGGAGCTGCAGTGAGCTGCAGCCATTTTGCGTTGGGTCCCGTTGGGTCCCGTTGGGTCCCGTTGGGTCCCGTTGAGGTCCCGTTGGGTCCGGTGTCATGAGTCCTCCAGTTGAAGGAAACAGCCGTGGCATCGCCTGAGGTGAGAACCCGCTCAAGGTGCCGAAATGTGGCGCTCAGGCCAAGCTGGCCAAGCTGGCCGAGTATCGGTCCTTGAATGGAGGGTTCATATAGGTCTGTGGAGAAGTCGAACCAAATGAAACCAACCTAGGCATCCTAGGCTTAAGGTGAAAACGATGAAACCTGTTTCAGATTTTCTGTGACAGTGCTAGGCGAAAGTCCATTCAATGCCTGCCTGCTCTCTTAAGCAGCTCCATCGGTTCTACAGTCAGGTATTTTAGAACGGTCGGGAAACCCTACTACAGGAGCTGGGATTCTCAGCTATGGAGCTATGCTGAATAGAGCTGTCTTAGCAGCGCAGGCTGAGCCGGTGAGAAGAAAAACAATTTGTATGTGATATATATATATATGATTATGTATATATATGTATATATATATGATTATGTATATATATATACATGTATCATTGTGTATCTATAATGTACGCTGCATGTGCAGTAGACGTGCTTAAAAATTATTGCGAGTTGAATCGCCCTAAGCGGCGGTTCACCCCATCCGCCTTCGACCTGCTGATCATACCTCCATAAGTATCTTGAAGTATCTTGATTTTTGCTAGCACATAGCTGCCATAGCTCCTGATTTGATGTGGATTCTTGCTACATCACCATTCAGAGTATCAGCCTGAGGATTTAGCTGGTTTTGTGACCGCTAAGTAGGCAGGATCTTCATGGAGTGCCTCTCCTTTCTGCAATAGTTGAGCTGAGGTCCTGAAGCTTATGTGCCACGGAGTGAAACGGTGCGGTACTGTGGCAATTCAGTTGGCTTTTTGCAAGTTGATGCCTGGTAACCCCACAATCCCAGCATTTTGCGATGAGGCAGTCGACAGAAGGTCAAGAGGTCGTTTTTCTTTTTCTTAAAGGTGTCTGGAAGGTGCTATCATGCTGCAACTCGTGCTGCCTGCTTGGATCGGCTGAAGTTGAAACAATGCTGACAATGCTTATTTCCCAGAAGGGCACAAGAATATTTTGTTCACATTCTCTTTGAGGCAGTCCAAGCTTATATCAATCCCCATGAGCCTAAGAGTATCCGAGCACCTCCAGACGCCTAAGGTCAGAGTAACTGCTCCTGCTGCTGCAGCTGCCGGTGACGTGACCTGGCTGCAGGAGAGGCAGAGAATCAGGAAAAAAAGATTTTCTAACAGATTCTAGCGACCTGCATCAGCAGCCTGAAAGATGCTGAAAGGCGTGTCACCGTGTTGCCTTGTTTGCCTGTGAGGTGATGTTTCTTGATAGTCTGGGGCCCACTGGAGCTCCAGATGGTTTTTCGTGCGAGGCTTGCACATCAGGGTGAAAGGGAAGACTCATGACAGCCTCCCGCTACGAACACAAATTGTAAGTCAAGATTGAGTGGAGTCATGAGGGAGCACTTTCTTGTAAGCAACACCTGGGTTGGAAGAAGCGGCATAGCTAGCTTCAGCTGGGAAGTTCAACCCGTTGAAGGTCAGGGAATCATTTCAGTTTCGATGAGCCAAACCTGGCAGGTTCGGCTACCGGCGGACGTTCGGCCTGAAGAGTCTTGGGACCTGGAAATGATGAGATGGAGACATTTTGGGGGTGGAACTTTGCCACTTCGGAACTTCATCAATTATTAAGATATATTACAGTATTGATAGTATTGCAAGAGACAACAAAGCGAACACATTATACAGTTGGCCTTGCCCCAAATGAAAAATGGAACCATCTCAGGAGCAGGGACAAAAGGGAGGATCTGCCGTTTGCTTAAAAAGAAACAACATTTACAAATTTTGTTCCAGTACGTTGTAGATTCTGCAAATTGCGATTACAGTCATACAGTCACACCGTTGAACTGAGCAATTCTGGATCAGATTATTTGAAGATCCTAGCCAAGGCATTATTATCAACACACAGTTCTTCACGATTCTTGATGTTTCAGAAGCTTGGTGCTTCACGAGCTATTGGGGCACCAATGCGCCTGTGAATTTGTCAGTGTTGGCGTCGCATGCTGCAAACACAATTTCTCTTGGTTCCCACAAGGTAAGCTCAAGTGTGAACTCCAGACGCTTGTTTAGCTATCAGCTCCAAGAGGTTCGCATTGACGGTTTCGTGGACCCAACCCGCTTTCTTCCCACGCGTATTTGAGAGACTTCCACATCCGTCACTTTCAGAACGTCACTATTGCCAGTTGCAGAAGCACCCCTAGGCCTTGCGATGCCGAAGTTTGGGGCTATGAGGTGCGAGGGAGTGCCTCCAAGAAACATTGGCACTTGTATGGGCACTTGAATACACTCACTTGTCATGGGCACTTGTCCAGATACAAGGTCAAATTTGCCATATTTAAGCACTTGACTGTGACTGACCTGATTGTCCTGCTTGACGTTAGCTCTAGCAGCTCTAGCACCACCTGCATAATTTCTGGTACAACCGTTGTTATTCCCCAGGCAAGCATGTCTCAGCATGCTGTCAGGTGCCTCCCCTTGATGTCTTTGCTTTGGGCGTTTGCCTCTTCATTTTAGCGTGGCGCATTCCGCCATGGGGCACTGCAGTCATGTTTGGCTGCACTCAAGCTGGTGAAATGTAGGCGGTGGGCTTGAGCTCAATCGAATAGTTGCAATGGTTGGGGTTATAAGGATGGGTTCCGATTTTGTTGCAAGATGTTGCAAGTCTCCTGAATGTCCTTTTCCCACCTATTTGGGCAGTTTGCCTGCATGGCAGGTCAAGCCCTTCGGCTAGATGGGACTTTTCAATACATTCAAGCACGCCTTTCTCTCAGTGGGGAAGGGAAAAGGAGTTGTGCAATTTCCAAGCCTGGCAACCTGGACTGAACCTGCACAGACGCTTTCTTGCCTTCGGGGAGTTGCAAGAGTATCTTCTCGGTGAAATTTGCCCCTGAACGCAGCATTGGCGATCTGGACCAGCACTCACCCCGTCTGTGTGTGGCACACAAACACCAAAAAAGTGCACCGATTTGCCGCTTTGTTTGGATGAGCACGATGAAGAAACCATCAAGCAGGAAGGCGTGAAAGGAATTGTCACTGTACGCGCCAAATATGAAGATGGGAGTCAGAGTAGTGCTTAGCCGTGCTCTTTGCTGAGATGGAATCCGACAATTACTTACCGTATGGAGATTGCCGCTGCTCTCGCCGGAGGCCTTTGGAATGCAAGGGTGGAGACAAATTGTATCTGTGTCCAGTGAAGATATGCCAACATCTGGGGTCCAGTCCAAACTCGCGACTCTTAATTTGAATATTTGAATACAGTATATATATATATATGTATATAAATATGAGTATACATATATATATATATATTTGGAATGCATCTGAATGGTGCACGGGCTACGGGCACCAGGGGTGTCCTCTTCACGGTAGTCTCTTGATTTCAGCTACACTGGTCTGCCATGGTCTGCCAAACCTGTCCAGGCAATGGCACTGCTGACCGAAATGGTCTCGCCCTCAGTGACTTCCAAGCAACCAGCATACCTTGTGCTGACTATACAGGCTTTCAATAGATATCGCCATAGATATTGCCTCCTTTGTGGGTCTATCCACAGATGTATTTTATATACACATACAAAATGCAAACTTGAACTTGTGCCTCTTCCGTGTCTCAGCTTTTGTTTTTTCCGAGATGGCAGCAAATCCACAACGCCGGCCTTCGGCGGAAGACTGTCTAGCATCTGAATGGTGAGCCGTTGGCGGGGGTGGACTTGGGAAGTTCAATTCGTGCGACCTCCATCAAGATACCCTTGGTCAAGGGTTCGTCCCAAAAATCGTGTCAGGTTGTGTCAGTCATGTGGAAATTCAGGTGCCTGCATTTGAGAGTTGCGTCGGAGAAAATGATAGGACATACTGGAACATCAACGCTTGTGTTTATTGTGCAGAATGGGTGAAATGTTTAAGCTACGTAGAAACGGGGTAGTGTGCCTTTACATGCGAATACAAGAGCATCTAGGAAAAATCGCTGTGACTCAAAATAAACGAGTTGGACAGCGTCAGGGGACTTCCCCAAGGGAGTCTGAACGATTCCTTTTCCCCCAAACAGTGTGTCCACACTGAGGGGTTCTTACGATAATGTCTAACTCATCTGCTAGTGTTACATAGCTGCTGTTGCTTGTATCTGGTACATTGGCTTCCTACCCCCCACACTGTTTGGGGTCTCTTGCCGGTGTAGTTGGAACATGAATGAAACGAGCAATAACAACGGTTTAACAACTTAACATAACTTAACCAATTAGCATCTTGCGCTTTCATGCCGTGAGTCCAGCAGGTCTCTTTGCCTAACTGTTGGGGCCTGCGGCAAGTCAATGTGAAGAAATTTCGAGGGAGTGGTGACGAAACCTTTCAAAATGGGTTTCCCTCAAAAGTTCATAAGGCCAGACGCTAGGATATCATGATTTAATATATATATACATATATAATATAGGTACACATATACTGTACACATAATATACATTTATAATTATATATATATACACATACAGACACATGTACAACTTATATATGCATGCACCTGTATGTGTGTCTGTACATACATACAAGGATACGTTGCGCTGCCAAAAATGGAGCCGTGCCAGGTTACGTCCGCTGGCAGAGGCCCAGGCGCCAAGTTGGAGAGCCGCTGGGTACTTTTTTTTGGATGTTTGTTTGTTGATAAACCGCACCGGATTTTGATGGGCAGGAGGGGTCTGAACCGGTGGCTAGGAACGACGCGCGTTTGATGGGGGTCCATCCCTGCTGCGCTTCAAACCAACTGAGACCTGCAGCCAAACCACCTGTGTGTCAAAAATAATCAGGAATCTCGAGCTCTCTCAATCACTATTACCAGTAAGGTTTCAGCTGCCTGAGTCTCCGTTGAAACAATAATATCTGTCACTTCTTGGCTGGGTGTCTGGCAAAGTCTTGATTGTGCAGGTGCCTGTTCATGCTGCCGAGGATGATGTAGGCCTGTGGCTTTCTTGCGATCTTTAGGCAAGCAGAGTCACGGTAGACTTAGCTTGAGGATTTGTTGTGGTTTTGCCTTTCGCATGCCGTTCCAAGTTGGTCGCAGGGTAGGAAGCAGCAGCCCCCCGAGTTGTTGCATCAATTTTCGAGCGTCTACAGACTTTCATTTTCAATATTTTCATATATGTTCAGTATTTTTCGCAAAGGTCCGTTCTGATTGGTTGGACTCAGGGTGAAACAATGTCATAGTTCATTGCAGTGCCACATTGCAGGCAACTTATTTGCTTGTCCTTTCTTCTAAATTCTAAACGCAGAGATTCCTTTTCAGGCAACATTTGTCACGTGATGGTGTGGGAAACCAAAAGACAGGTGTACCCCATCCATTCTTCAGAAAAATCGAGAAGTGTAACCGTCTGGCTGATTAGCATGGCCACGTTGCACAAGGATGACACACAACGCATTTTCATGGCTCAAGAAAACAGGCATCCTTTTTGCCGCTGCGCAGCTTTTTGGGTGCCTGGGAATCCTCAGGTTATGAGCCCAAGCAAAACGCTTGGGTGACTTCGCTGTAGAGGCGGCCATGGACCGACGTCGGAGGCAGCATCAACTGGCAGGTGAGACAGCCGACGAAAGGCTGGATCGATGTTCAAGATGGAGGAGAAGGCTAGGGCGGTGGCTTCCCGAGCTCCAGAAGTGAGGAGACTGAAGCTGGTGTCTATGCCAAACGGTTCAGGAGGTGCTGGAGTACCAATGGGACCCCCCGGACTTGGAGGCCAGGATCAACAAGGACTTCAAGCTAGTCCGGAAGTTTTGAAGAGTGCGGAGCTTCCACTGCTTCCGCAACCTGGACGAGAGCAGTCTGCTGGTCATTTTGGCGATTGGTTGACCTTGGCGGCACCACTGGTGGAAGACATTTCCAACTCAGCCAGAGAATGGTGGGGCGAGGTTCTGAATGAGACCACGGCGCTCTACGACCGATGGTTGACCGTACGCCTTTGGAAAGGATTCGACTCCGAGCTCCTGAGACTTTGAGGTTGGAGGCCTACCTGCGCCTAGAGCAGAGGATTGTGCCTCTTCTCTTGAAGTCCATGCCGGAGTTGATCAAGGCAGATCTGGTGTCCAACCGAGTGATGAATGTGGTTGGAGTGATGCTGCGCTTGTGGACGCTGTACCAACCTGAGCCTGGTGGCAGTTCGGAGCGCATCAGCATCTTGCACTTGCGGACAGAGGGGAAGATCCCTACGACAGCCAATGACTTGCTGAGCGGCTTGCGAAAATGAAGAAGGATGCGGAACCGTGCCATTGAGCTCAATCTGACGTTGCCAGACCCAGTGATCCTGACGGGCATTCTGGGGAAGTACACTGATGCTTTGGGGAAGCTTGGAGGGATGCAACTTTCCTACAGGATTGCTTCAGCGCGACAGGAGTTGGCAGTTGATGTGAGGCCCACGACCATGGCAGTGGAGTTCTGCGCTGAGTACTTGCAGTCCGAGGCATTGGGTTGAAGACTACAACTGGGGTTGCTGCGACCTTGAAGGCTTTGGATGGTGGCACATCTTTGGCTACGGTAGCATCTGGTGCAACGACTTCTGCCTCTACGACATCAAAGGGGGCATGTCGCTATTGGAAAACTACGGAAGGATGCAAGAGGGGGTCTTCATATACCTTCTTGCATGACACCTTAGACATGAAGGGAAAGTGCTTCAACTGTGGTAGTCAAACGTGAGTGTCCTCACAAACCTGCTGGGAGTACCCAGACTACTTCGACTTCTTCTACTACTGCAACTCCTGATGGGAAGAAGGTCTCAAAGGTGAAGGCGGCAACGAAGCCTTCCAATGGAAAGGAGTCAAAGGGCTCAATTGATGATGTCAAGGATGCCAAGAACCCTAAGGGGAAGGATGCAGAGAAGGGTGGATCTCAGCCTATGCCTGAACCAGCGGCCCCTGCAGACCTGCCGCAGGCGGAGCCAATGGGTGAACCAGCTGCTGAGACTGCGACTGACTTATTGAAGGAGGCGACGGGCTTGTTAAAGTCCATTCGAGGACTGAAGGCCTTCCGGGTCAAGTCCGTTGGAGAAGGGCTCTATGGATTCCAGGTGGGTTTGCGCTACTGGATGGTGGAGCTACGCATGCCCTTCGACAGGCGCGACCAGATGAAGAAGCTGACCTCATACAGACCAAGGTTGAGTTGGCCTGTGGATCAAAGACGCTCTACAAGCACCCCAAGCGCCGAGCAAGAGCCCTGTGGAACCAATCATTCCTTTGGCTTGGTTGGTGGCGGCGGACTACAGGATCACTTGGCGAAGAGACAACATTGTGATCCATCATCCTACAAAGGGGCCATTGCGATGCAGCTTGAGAGGAGGATGCCCAGTGATGTCAAGGGCTGAAGGCTTGTCTTTGCTTGGCGACCTCGAAAACATGCAACAGATCGATGTGGAGCTGAAGGAGGATGAATTGAGGTGGGGGGCCGGACGATGGCCTCAGGTACCCCGCTCAGTCTGGAAGTACATGAGGGGTCAAGGAGAGTGTTGGAGGGAGGTTTCTTCTTCTACCAGTTTGCCCTGGAATCGCCATCGACGGCGGAAGCTTTGGCGATCACGAGGAGTCATTTTGCATCTCTTCTCTGGCAAGAACTACAAACCATGGTGCGAGCTTGAGCAGGCAGGGTACACGGTCCTCGCCACGGCATCGACTTGCATGACCCTGCTATCTGGGCCTTCCTGTGGGAGCTGACGTGTGCTGTGAAGGTAGTGGGGGTGATTGGAGGACCTTCGTGCAGAACTACGTCAAAGCTCGGGCAGCGTCAGCCAGGGCCACCTCCACTTAGAGGAAGAGATGGCCAGTGTTTTGCCTTGGAGAGACTGTCTACGTGGGATATGCATCGGGTCAATTCACACACGGCCTTGCTCTTCAAGCAGCTGGGGTTGTTCATCAAGGCGGAGGAACGACGTCTACAAGTGCCAGAGCTTCAGGCTTTTCCTAAGGAATTTGGAGGACCCAATGGCCTACCTGGGAGCAGAAGCAGCAGCCAATCTTCCATCCTTCTGGAACTTTCCGGAGCTGAAGGACCTGGTGGGAGTTGGGGGCCTGAAGATGGTCAGCTTCGACCAAGGCAGAATGGGGCACATTAGAAGGAAGCCGACGACAGTGATGGGAAATCTTCTGGGCTTGGGAGAATTTCATGGCCTGAGAAGTCCTGACAGAAAGTCGGACCCTTTGCCGGGCCGGGTGCAGGATTCAATTGAAGCATCACGAGAATGGGCCGCATGGTCGCCTAGACTTGTTGCGGCGTTGAAGGAGGCCTTGAAGGTGTACCTACGTCAACGAGATCAATGCTTGGCCAAGGGCATCAGCAAGCTGACGGTGGAGGACTGGAAGAAGCATGTGGCAGCCCAACATCGTCCTTACAGACGCGACTGCTGCAGGTGCTTGGAACTGATGGGAGTTGACAGCCCTCACAGGAGGTCGCATGCTGACAGCTCTGCCTATGTCCTTTCAATTGACCTGGTGGGACCTTATCCAATTGGTCGTGACGATGGACGGAAGCGGCCTGGAAATACATCATGGTGGGCACTGTTCCTCTTCCGAAGCTTGAGCGCTTGGAGGGTCCAGAGATGAAGAATGAGGACGATGAGATTGTCAGCTCTGGGGGAGGCGAGAGAGAAGGAACTACCGGCTGGAAATCTTGGACGCCCCGAAGGCCTTGGAGTCCCTGGCGATGAAGCCCATGCTGGAGAAGTTCAACCTTCTGCCGAAGATCCACAACCCCTGGAGGATGGAGATCAAAAATTGATGGATGAATTGGAAGGAGATCTGGGATCTGATAGCCTGGAAGTGCCAGAGGATGCGGCAGTCACCAAGTTGAACGAGGCTTGGATGGAGTACGTCAAGGAGCTCCGTCAACCAGCAGGCCTTCAGAATGTAACCATGGTGGAGATCTTGGAGTCACGCCACATCTCTCAAGTGCTGGATGGCATGAGCCGTATTTTTGGTAGGATGAAGGCGTTGGGTGTGCCAATCCTGAGAATCCACTCTGGCCGCGAGAAGACCTTCCTCTCCAAGGGCTTCCAGAAATGGCGTCGCGATCACTCGCTCTACCAAACTATGACGAGCGGTGATGATGGTCCAGCCAATGGAAGGGTCGAGGCGGAGGTCAATCAGATCAAAAGGAGGCTGAGATTGGTGACGGCATCTTCAAACCTGGGTGCCGCATGTTGGCCTGCCGTGGCGAGATGGACAGGTGAGGAAAGGTTGAGAATGCAGCTGAGCGGCCTAGGTGTGCCTTCAAAGCCAATGATACCGCTTGGAGAGAGGGTGGTGGTGAAGACGAAGAGGTTGCATAAAACGAAGGGGCCACTCTCAGCACCTTTCAAAACTATGACTTTGATGGGACCGAGTCCAACTATGTCATCAGGTTGGGTGCTGCGTGATGGAAAGATGGTCCAACATGCCAGGACGGTTGTGCGTCCTTCACCACATGGCGAAAAGGCTATCCTGGAGCTCTACGATGCGTCGAAGCGGCGACTGGTTGGAAAGCAGCCCTTTTATCAAGAACACCGGAAAGTGGCAGCACCAGTTCAACATGGAGATCTACCTCCAGAACTTCAAGATGACTTGGGCTTTCCAGATGACTCACATGATGTTTGGGGAAAGCCTGCAGCAGTTGAAGATAGGGGGGAGGATGTGGAGAGCCTTGCATACTCCCCGGATGAGCTGCCGCACTCTGAACTACCTGGGCCTCTACCGGCAGAAGTTGGTGTGGCCGAGGAACCTGCCCTACGTGCTGCGCGGGCAGGGGGGGAGTCTGGCCCCACAGTTTTACAATCTGGCCCCACAGTTTTACCAAATTGCGTTGGTTGTGGACTTTTGCATCTGAAGAATGTGGCTTCTGTGGTGCGCGGGGGGCAAGTTCATCGCTCCTGTGTTTGTCATCACAGTCGGGCACGCAAGATGCGGCAGGTTCATCATCTTTGAGTTTGACGCCACAGCCGGGCTTGCAAAGAACTGCAACGTCTTCGGTGCCTACAAGACGCTGCGGACTGGAAGCGCGACTGGGGCACCCGGCAGGTGGACTTGGTGGTTTGGTGGATGCAACGCCAATGAAGGTTGCAGCTATGAGGTGTTCAACGTCTTTGGCACCGGGCTCGCATGGAGCAAAGGACGATCACCACAGTACTCTGGACTCCAGGAGCGGTGTGGAGGACTTGGAGAGCGACTATGGTGAACGAGCCTGGGATTATGCGGAGGTTGGAAACCCTGCCGAGCTGATTGAGCGGCTGCATCGGGAACACTGGGGATGGAAGCAGTAAGGAATGAAGAGTTGGCCAGAGAGGCCGTTGGAGCGGTAGAAGGAGAACAGCATGGTCAATGGCTTGAGTACCTGGAGTCCCAGGTGAAGAGCTTTGATTGACGATGGTGGAGGCCTTCAACCAGGGGATCGTCAATGCCAAGCGGGCTTCTAATGGTGGCTTTGGATAGCATGGCTGATGGTGAGAAGTTGCGACATGGAGCCTCTCAGCCAAGAGCTGTTCTTCAGACCTATACGGTTTCCTTGGGCGAGGCCAAGCGAGACATCGAGCTTTGGCGTGATCCTCTTCAAGCTGAGCTCAAGGCCTTGGAAGATTCAGGAACTATCCGAAGGGTGAAGGTGAGCCAGCTGTCCTCTGAGCCCGGATACAACATGATGACCGTGGCTCCTGCCAAGATCGTTCCAACCATCAAGTCCCCAGTGGGCAAGAAAAAGATACGGATTGTTGTCTGCGGCAACTTGGTTGGACCTGCTGATCACATCAAGGACGTTGGGAATTATGCTGAAAATGAAGGTTCCCATCAAGTGGAAGTTCCGATGACGAGGGGTCAAAATCAAGATCCTGGAGGTGACTGTTGGCAAGATGGTTCTGGCAGTTCAGGAGGTGGTCCTTCTGATCTTTTTGCAGGTGGGGTGGATGCCACGGCGCTGAGATGCGTCTTGCGCAAGGCAGCTGGAGAAGGCTGGGAAATAATTAGCTGGCACAGATGTCCGAGGAGCATTCCTCCTTGCACCTCGATCTCAGGTCAAAAGACCACTGTTGGTAATTGAATCACCCAGACTGCTGACGTCCACGGGCTTGATTGCCCACGATGAGAGATGGGTCTGCGATGGTGCGATGTATGGGCTGGACACTTCACCAGCTGACTGGGCTACGTTCAGGGATCTTCGCATGGCTTCTTTTAGATGGGAGACTGCGGAACAAGATTGCCACTTGGTAAGATCTCCTGAGCCGAACATCTGGTCTGTGATGGGGCAACAAGAAGAATCACCCTGAACCCTTGCTGAATGACGATGCCTATGCAACACCGTTGGGCTTCATCATCGTCTATGTCGACGACATCCTGTGCAGAGGACCTCAGGCAGTGGTGGAATCAACTTTGGAGGGGATCAAAACTGAGTGGACTTGCTCTGCCGTGGAATGGGTCAAGGGGAACCATTGGCTGAAGTTTTGTGGGATGCAGCTACAATGGAAGGATGGCTCACTGATGTTGGGGCAGCCGGGCTTTGCGAGGGAGCTGGTGGAGCGGCACGGCTCTGTGACCGGCAGATCTTTTCCTCTGCCGAAGGTTGATCAGCTGCAGGAGCCTGAGGAGGTGATTGATCCAGCGGGCCAGCGGATGTGAAGCGATGTCAACAAGTGATGGACGAGTTGCTTTGGCTGAGTTGTAGAACCCGGCCAGACCTGGCGCATGCAGTGTCTCTGCTATCTGGCCTTGTCACCAAGTGTCCTCAGCCAGTTCAGCATCTTGCGAGCCACATCATCGGCTATGTCAAGGAGACTGTTGATTTGGCGCTGGTCTATCATTGATGTGATGGACAGTCAGATGGAGATCTGCGAACCGTGTCTGATGCGCCGCGTGCTCCTCAAGGTCTTCGTGGACATCAAGGGATCCTGGCGATGTGGGGAGGCGCTCTGGTGCAGTGGGAGTCAAAGCGACAGCCATTTGCTTAGTAGCACGGAGGCGGAGCTCATTGGCTACGTGGATGCGATCACTATGGGCAAGTCGCTTCAAGTCGTGCTCAGCATCTTGCAGAACAACGCATTGGTGGATGATGGTGACTTCCTGCTCAAGGGCGACAGCCTCTCGGGGATCCAATTGCTTTTGTCTCTGGATGGGCCTTGGCGCACGAGGCACTCAGGTCCTAAGTGCTGAGGGAGCGCCTGGCTTCCAGGGTTGAGCACACGCCTGGAGCTCAACTCTGTGCAGACCTCTTGACGAAACCAGTGGTGACAACTACCAACTGGGATGCCTTTAGGGTAGCTGTAGGTTTAGTCACTGAGGGAACCAAGGGAGAAATTAAGAAGGTTGCAGCAGGTAGCTGCGACGATTGCCGCTTTGGGCAGTGTAATGGCTCAGCCAAGGGTCAGCTCATGTTGCGCATGGCCAGTGCGGTAGGCACGGCCAGTGCGGTAGGTGTGGCAGCCTTGACAGCGCTGCTTGCATGTAGTGAAGGGATTGGGAACTTGGTCAAGGGAAAAATGAACCTGACCAAGGGTGAAGAAGACCCCACAAGAGCCTCAGGCACAAGTCCATTGGGCCAACCACGGTGGATCCACAGGCAGGGGCACCCCAAAGAGTGGACCATCGAAAAAAGAAAGGGTCAGAGGGAAGATGAACCCTGGCCAAGAACCGGGGTGAGGGACCCACTTCGGAATCCAGGGTGAGGGAAAATGAACCCACTCTGGCTGACACGGGCCCTGAGGGCTCCCTGGGTTTGCCGCGTCTGTGCGCGATGAGGTCATTCGAGACCTTGGGCCCGCAGCCATGGATGTCCAACGACTTCATGCAGCCACCGCACGCTGCCAGCGACGATGTTTGGATTCAAGTGGATGGAGGCTGGGTGGTTTGCATTCACCGAAGCTTGAGAAGAAGGATGTTCCATCCGCTGCACCGGTCCTGTCCTGTGAGGATTGGGGACCTGGAGCCTCGCCGCACTACGGTGATATGTTGGAGCGGTCCGAGGGGATGGGAACGCGCAGTGCAGCATGATGAGTGGGGCACCGGCAATGTGATGGTCCAAGGACAATGGCGTGGCTGGACTTTCTTTCGCCTCTCTGAGACGAACCAGCTGCTCAGCGACGAGGGCAGCCTCCAGTGGTTGAACATGTTCCGGCAGTGAGGGCTCCTATGACCACAAGCCGATATGGGCATGCGGGGTCGTGGCCGAGCAGTTCACCGGCTGGGAGCTCTACAGGTGGAAGTTGGTCGGTAGCTGGTTCTGGGGGAGCGAGGCCAGGAATGGTGGGACGATGGAATTTCACACCGAATCAGATTTGGCCGCCAAGCTCTGCTGGGCCCTAGGGGCCACCTACTTACGGCGTCTTCGGTGCGACCTGGGGGATCGACAGCATCAACAAGTTCAATGCCGAGGCCTGCAACAAATCCAGCACCCGGGATTCCGAGAGGGAGCACGGTGCTGATGAGGCCTATGAGCAGCTCAAACAGGTGGAACGATGGCCCCGCCTTGAGCGTGAGAGAAGGGGTGAGCATTCGCAAGGCGACATTGCGTGTGCTTCAAGCTCCGCTACCACCAGCATTGCGCCCCCCTCGAGCTCCAGAAGCCCCACAGCGACGGAGGATGCGCTACTTGGAGGTGAACCGTGGGGATGTCAGTGATCCGAGCGACCATGGAGGCAAGCTCCAACTACGAGGAGGAGGTGGAAACCGAGGAAACATCCGACGGAGACTTCTCGGTGGTGACTGAGGAGAACGGAGCTGCTCCTGCAGAGGACGATTAGAACAGTTAGATAGCCTGAGAAGTTTTGGGTAGCGGTGGTCACCGCGACCATCGAGTTTTTCCAATTTTGGGCACATGACCAAAGGTCATGGGGGGAGTGTGATGGTGTGGGAAACTAAAGGACAGGTGTACCCCATCCATTCTAACCGTCTGGCTGAATAGCATGGCCACGTTGCGCAAGGATGACACACACACACACAACGCATTTTCATGGCTCAAGAAAACAGGCGTCCTTTTTGCCGCTGCGCAGCTTTTTGGGTGCCTGGGAATCCTCAGTAGCATTTGGCAGAAAAGGAGTGTGTGTTTGCCGAAATTCAGTGGTACCACTCCTACGAACTCCCCCGTTGCCAGTAGACCCTGCTGTGGCGGCGATGGCGAGTATGGAGATCGCCGCCTGCACGCATGTGGGTTGGGAGGTGGCTTGGATGGGCCTTCACCACAGCCTCCTTGGGGGTTCCCCCACAATTAGTCCTACATGGGTAGTGTTTGTGCAGCTATAAGTGGCTATTGATGTCGAGTTTATAGAGAGTATATAAGGAGTATTTATGGAGTGTGCAGGGAGCACATAGATTTTTAGTACATGGGCAGATACGCTATTCATAAACACAGTATACAGTATAATATATCTTCACCCCTATGTTTTTTTGGGCGATGGGGGTGCTAAGGAGCATATAGGTAGTGAAGAGGCAATGTTGCAGGTATTCGCTGCTGATAGGTGGCATGTAGGGAGAGAAGAGGGAAACTATAGGTGTTTAGTACATAGTAGGTAGGTACACATAGGTATGCTTTGAGCCATGTAAAGGTAGCAACTGTGTAGCATAAAGGTATGCAATGAGTAAGAAGTCATGTGTGAGGCATGCTATAGGCAGTATGTAAACAGTTTATGGTTAGTATGTGCTATATGCATATATATATATACACACATTGGAATACATAAATAGACAAACCATACAATTCGGGGGGGTTAGGGGCGTCCGGCGACTTTGTGTGTATATTGTATATATTTACATCAAAATGTATGTGTACACATATGTATGTATATGTACACATATGTATGTATATGTACATATGCGTATGTATATTGTATATACATATATTGCAACATTACATATAATATACTGTATCACATATTATAGATGATATATATATATACATGTAAGTATATATATATACACATTAATTCTGAAGATATATATATATAGATTGAACATAATTATATCTTTTAAACACATACATATTGTGATTCATCATACTCATGCAGTACAACGATTAATGCTCTGGAATTTGAAGATTATGAAGGCTTTGGTGAGGAACTTGAAGCCTTCAACGTCATTTTGTTCATCACCTCTATCCACTATTTACTTGCTTCACCAATGTCGGGTGGGGGTCTGATGCTAAAAGATCTTGCTTGTCCCGTCGTTCGGACACATCTGCCCAGCGCTGTCTGTGTCTAAAATGACAAGTTGTCGGCGTTTGGAAAAAAATCTGGATATCTGTGATCTTAGCCTGAGCAACAAAAGGCTGGGAGAAACCCTTGTTGGCAGTACCTTATTCAATCATTGTTCATATCAATCACCAGCCAGTTCACGCCAGTGGAGTATCACACTATCATTTCCTCCAACTGAGGCGGCTGAACGGAGAATGGTCAATTGGGGTGATACCTGGGCAGATGATTTGCGCACTGCTGTGAGAGACATCCAAGAGACCGGCTACCGCATCACTGACGCTCATGGACAGCAGTACCCTGGAAAGATAGCTCGGGCGGGTTGGGAGACTTCACGAACCGCCACATAATGGGTACCGAGATGGCCCGAACTTCCAAAAATCAATGATCTCAGAATGATCTCATGGTCATCCAAACCCCGCCAGAAATCAAGTGGTTAACTGTTCAATGCACTTGGGGAGCAGTTGGGATCGTACTAATGTCTGGCCAGGCTGTCAAACTTTTCTAGCGGTGTAAAAAGTACCTAACCCAACCCATTCAGGAGACCAACTGAGGGAAGGCTAAGCAACATAAGTGGCTGTCTCCTCCAAACTTCTGACCGCTTTCAGGCGGAACGAAATACCTGGGCACCCTGGTCAGTTGGAAGACGTGCCATTGCCGAGTGAATTCCCACTTTGTGTCAGTGTGAACTAGCCCTAGCCCGCAAGGCATCAGGAGGCCGGGGTGTCTGTGTTCTGGTTTTCTGTGGAATGGATCGGAGATGGTACAAGTTGCAAGAATGCCTACATTTCATAATTTGATGTATTTGTTCATCAACCTCTTTAGTTTCTTTTTCAGCTGTCCAGACTGTGAAGCAAGTGCTACATGAAGGATATGGTGACTTCGGAATGACGCCTCCGTAGCCCTGAAGTAGGTTGTTGTCCATGCATGCGTGCTAGTGCAACGACGGAAGCTGTTGTTTGAAAACCGATTTTTTGCTTTCCTTATTTTCCCGGTGTGGAACGAGACAGCATGCAACAAGAGCCTGCTGCGCACATGCATGGAATATGCATTCCTGACCGGCGCCCTGCTGCTTTTTTTTTAACTGCATGCTATCCATTGCTATGCAATTTATACGTGGCCAAATGCTCAGCAAAGGCGGCAAAAAGCGCTGAGCCGCTGGAGCTGTTTGAACAGTCGACCGTGAAGAAGCTTTTGCAAGTCATTTAGATAAAGGATTTTAAAGGTACCAAAGCAATCCCGTAACTATCACGATATTTATGATATCGTCTCAAGAAAAGTGGCTTTGGACTCTCAGAATCACGGAAGACGCACCTGGCTGCGTGTCTTCCCCCCCACACGCTCAGAAGGCCAAGATGACAAGCAATGCGCATGGCATGGTAAAATCCGGCCTGTAATTCCAGCTTTCACTATCCACAACTCGTTAAACATGTGAACAAAGCAAATACTTACTCAATGTAAAACGCCTGTTTTCTTTGTGAGCTTTTGACAGCTTCTGTGTCTTGTTGGGTCTCAAGTTGGGCCGCGCATGAGCGGAGCTGGGGGAGGACGAAACGACGCAATGTGACTCCTTAGGCGCGCACAACGACCGAGTTGTGAGTCAGCCAGAGTTGCTGGAGGCGCCCTGGAATCCCAACACCCTCAATCTCAAAATACCAAACACATCAAGCACATCACACATCCAGACATGTTCCATGACGGTCTATGACGTTCCAGTAAGATCCCTTATGACCTCAAAGGTCTCCGATGGATCCATTCGGCTTTCGGAAGTCATGAAATAAATTTGACGTCATGAAACTCCCGGGGCTTTTGGATCCACGGATTTGATGCCACAAATGGCCCCACTCGGCCTCGGACAGAAACACTGGCAAATTGCTGAGCTGTGCCCAGAATCTTGGTGTCCACCCTTGTTGGAAACAAACCCAGGCAGTATTTCCAGCGCAAGAGATTGTGCGCAATCAGTCTATCTTCATATAAGGCCGAACTCAAAAAACGATAAAACGGATAAATGGCTCATGGCACCCTTCATAATTTTCTCAAAACCTTGTAACCCTCTTCGTCCAGAAAATCGCTGTAGATGCGACCCTTGTCCGTTTGTTGTATCTGAAATTGGGTACCGCACCATACCGTAGCCACTTAAATACCTCTGTTTGACGAATTCGACTGTGTTTTTGTCGGGACTCAGTTTGCACCTAGGGAAGTGATGCCGGGAAGCTGGGCGTTGTTCAGTCTCGATTCCTATGTGGTGCGCGCAGCACCCAATCCCAGAGAATCTAAGGCTTGCATGAGGTCATTTGACCAGCTCTTGCAAATACCATCACATCCTCTAGTATAGTCAATTGCTGTCATTGAATCGTTTGTAGCAGACAACAATCACTGACGATATGTCTTTATGTAGGTCATCAATCAGGCTGTTGACAAAAAGGTCTTGTTGTTTCGTTGTGCTGTCCTAGTGAATGGGTAATTTTGGTTCTGATGGAGCAGAGATGAAGTTGAAGATTTCTACAAGCACAAGAACAATAAACCACACACCCACACAGATTCTGGAATGTTTTGCGGTAGCGCAAATCCAAAGATTGACTTGAGGTGCTATTTAAAGTTCGATTTGGACTCGATCCTTGCATTGTCACCACAAGCATTCATTCGGCCCACATGGAAACTACAGCTGGCCTTTTGTCGTTGAAACTGGGAAGCTGTCGGTTGCCATCGGTTGCCATCGGTTGCTACTAGCTTGACAGAACTTGACCTTTTTAACAATATGTTTGAAGAATGCCATGAATTTCCTGGGAATTAGAACAGGGACATGATTAGTTGCGGCCGTCACATGGCCACGCAAGTGCAAGCACCAATTTTGCACTCAGCACAAAGACAACATGTTGGTCACCAAAAAAAGTGCTTCCGAATCAGGAGCATCTCCAGTTCAATTCTCTGCATGAGTTTACACAAAGCCAGGTGTGTGACTGTATGTGAATATTCTGCACAACACCATTGACCAAACTTAATCTGTTTGGTTGCTGCCTTGCAAATCAGTTGGTCCCTACAATCGTTGGATGGGGATTCTCAGAGAGAGACCTCAACCGAATGTTTCAGAGAGACCAAGAGCGAACCCATCGGGTTGGCGTGGCACGCCACGCGGCGTCAACGCGGGGTTCACCGCGAAAAAGTAGTGACTGGTGGGGTTGTGCGGTTCAATGTTGCATTCTGCGCGCTGCAATTTCGAATGCACAGCAAGTCCGCCCGAGGATCCGAACTACCAGTACATGCATTGCTGCATAGTAGATGCATGTGCAGTGGTTTGAAATGTTTTGCAATGGTTTGAAAGCGACTTTATATACACCAGGTGAGGGGATATGAGCTTACAGAAGCAGCCGGTGCTGTTTTTCTTATCCGACCAGTCCTGTGCTCAGCCTGACAACAGTGCAAAGGGGGCAAAACCGGAGCCAAGAAATGAAGTGACAAGAATCAGATTTGAATCACCGCTTGGTGCATCGTGCTTATCAATGCTCATCGTTTTGGCCTTTACTCGATCTTCGTTGACACTTGTTGATTCTTTATCATCCTGGTACCAGCGGCACAATGACGGCATTCAACAGATTTACAGTAGGATATGCCTCGGGGCAAACAAGTAGTGTAAGAAGCCATGCAATTAACAACCAAAAGGAGAGAGCCACACTGCTACCATCGGCAGCCCCTTTTTTATTAACAGTTTTTACGCACTTCTGTTTGTTCTGTGCTTGCAGCGAAGCTGTCGCCATGAGTAGTGATCGCTTGTACCTTGGAGAGACATGCCCTGCTCTTCAGCTGTTGTTGCAAAGGCGGGCTGGTCAAAAAAGGGGTGGGTGCCTTGCTGGGGCAAGCCTGGGGGCGCATCAGCAGAAGCATACGAAGGGTCCTTTTTTCAACTCTGGTCACAGGAGCGCATGAGTCTCTCGAGACACAAAACTTCATGTTGGCGTGTCTCAAAAACCAGGAACCACACTCACCACTTTGTTTTTTGTTCAAGTGAACCTAGGCCCTTTGCGTGGTGAGTGGTGATTTTTATGGGGCTATAGGAGCACTTGATTTGGGAGCAGCAGAACTGACTGTCAGGCTTGTGGATGACCCCAAGGCTCAACTGGAAGAGATGGACTTTCAAGATTTCGAGGTGGTACGGCAGTACTGTATTATTGGGTGATGGATGGTGATGGCACTGAGCCTCTGAGAGGGCCTGATCAGACCCGATCTAGAAGCATTTCATTTGTGGACAACGGCCCCGTCAACGCAGAACCCACCTTTTGGACATGTCTAATCTACGTCTCTATATGTAATACATATATAATATACACTCGCACAACCTGTTGCTACACCCAGGACGTGCAAGCAAGGAAGACAAGGGCACAAGAAGAGCATTTGATGTGCCAGATAGTCTCAAGATAGTCTCAAATGTCTCAAAAAGCAAACAAAAATGCAAGTTGACAACTTCATATGTGTTGATTTTATTTCGCATGATTTCCTTACGCGCTTTACAGCAACTCACACAAAGACACGGTGACAGGATTGAAAGAGGCTCAAAGACCGAAACGAAGACCGAAACGACGCAGCAAGACACCACCGCTCTGGAGACTGGGAGTGCAGGTGGCCTTCTCAACGAGCCTCGAAGGCGATGTCCTGGTGTTGAAGGCACTGCACTGACTCACTGACTACTGACTGCACTGTCTGCTCGTGATCTTCGCGTATCTTTGAGTTGGTTTGAAATGTGTTCGCGCGTTGAAACGATTCTGATCATCTTCTGATGTTCATACCAACTTCATAGCTTCATTGAATGGGTTCCCAAATGAATTCATTTGACTTCATTACGGAAGATTTCATAATGTGTGGGCAGATTTCCTTCATTCTCTACAAACAGTGACACGGACAGTAATGTCTCATGCATTGACGCAATTCAAAAGTTCAGCAGTTCCGTTGTTTTCTTTGTGGTGAGTTCGACTTCAGGCTCAACGATGGCTAAAGTTTTGCTATATATAAGATTATATATATAAGGGAAGAAATCCGGCTGATGATTTTTTTTGCCACAGAAGAACATGCCTCTGCTCACCTGGGCCCTGCAGACAGAAAAAACACATAAACAAGTTTGAAAACACCGTTGTTTTCCACGTGGTCATTTTCATCCTTGGGCCAACAGTGCCGCAGCAGGTAGCTTATCCCTTCTTGATGCAGGTTTGGCCACAGGGCACTGAGGAGCTAGCAGATGCAGATACCAAGTACTACTAGGGGTAGTCGGCTGGCTCTACTGATATTTACTGATAGTACGTCACAGCGCATCACCATGTTGTTTTTGGGTGCAACGAATCTGCAGAGCACACGTTGTACCAATGCCATATCATATTCTTCATATATTCTCATATTTGTCTATCTCCAAAGTTAGAAGTGATCTATAAGTGCTCTACTTCCTGGCCCATAAGCTGCAACAAACGAATGGCCGCAACATATCAATTAAAGTTCGAAGGATCTGGAAGGATTTCGAAGGATCCCTAAGTTTCTCAACTCCTCATCTTTGCTGTGGAGGAGTTGCTACAACACGTGTGGCAGGGGCTTCCCGTGCGCTTTGCCCTGGCTGGAAGAGATGATGAGATGAAGATCGCTGTGGAGAAAGCAGCGCTGGGCCGACTCGAAGCCTCTGAGGCGTGTTTCAACTGGTACGGGTCCACTCTTGTTGTACCATGTTGATCCATGTTGTATCTAAAGGATTCTAAAGGCCCTTCAGAGTAGTTGAGTAGTTTTTTTTACATCTATTACCTCAAAGGATCCAACCACCGTGGGATTATCACAATCCGACTAGCTAGCCCCGGCTGCAAAGTCGAAAGCCGGATTTGCTTTCCTATGACATCACTGGCCTTACTTTCCTTTCCAGTCGCGGGTTCAAACCAGTTGAAAAGGGTATGCGTGGCTCTGTGACACATAATACTTTAGCTATATGTCTCCTCAAACCTTATGTACTTCCGAATGGAAGCTCTGCATGCTTATACAGCGTACTAGCAGCCCCGCTTCGGGCTTTCTGTGCAGCAAATGCAGTCCTGCGCTGATGCTGTGGGTCAGTTTCGGACTGCACGATACCAATAAATTAGCAAAAAACGAAATGAAGCACGGCAAATTAACAGTGCTTTGGTTTCTTTACTTTTAACATGCTACTTGGATCCAGCTGGAGCTAGGTAGAGCCACTATCTCAAAAAGACGGTGCTTCTATCGGATGCAAGCATCAATTAAATGCGGCCCAGTCGTTTGTTGATCAGAAACATTCACGATCGAACAACTCTTCGGGGACTTCCAAGATGAAATGCATGGCAAAGACCGGTGCTTTCCTTGCGGCTCAATTGTGAGACATCTACAGCAGGCTTCCCCCCAAAACCCACCAAGATCACCTGGTAGGGTGCTCACCACCAGGAGAACGTATTGTTTGCATTTCACATCTCCAACCGCTCCCATGAAGTCCATCATCTGATGGTGTTTTTGATGGGAGGCAGCGCGATGTGTGGAGCGGATTTCCAGCACTCGCATTTGGTTGATTCTCGGCAGATGAGACAAGGTTAAAGCAACACTCTTTCGATTGGACCTGTGTACAAACCAACAGGAGGCCATGGTCCTGGGCATAGTCTATAGTCGTAGACTATTAATGACTATTAGCTACTTTTCGATCGCTTTTATTGAGTAAATCTGCATGAATCCACATGCCAAGTGTGCTTGCCATGCACACTATGCTCATGCGAATAATCCGTAGCATTCACTGCAGCAGCAGGGAGCATTCCAGCAAAGACCGCAGCTTCATTGGGATGTGATTATATGTGATTCCATTCACATCCATTCACTGCCAACCTGTGGTTCCAGTGATTTGCCCATGATCCATGTCCTGATCCGAGGCTCATTGGTCCGCTGGTCTCGCGCCTCAGCTGGCTGCGTGATGCGGTGCGCAAGGGTGACGAGGCGGCCAAGAAGGCCCCGTTGAATGCCCAGGAGGCACGCACGGCAGCGCCTCGGCGAGCAAGGAGCTATCGCTGGCACTGAAGAAGATGTCGGCATATGTCGACATGTTTGGAGAACTTCGTGTCTCTTTAATGCTTCTACAAAGTCCTAATGCACAAGAAAAGGCCAAGGCCATGAAGGTGGTGATTGGACAACCAGATCCATCGTCACGACCCACCAGTTCATGCCACAACCAGCAGCCAAACCAATTCCGCAAAAAGGATGGTCTTACGTATTTGTACGCTGACATTTTCAAATTTCAATGTGAGGACGTGAAAGGTATGACTATGATATGAAACTTCAAGGGAGGGGTGTTTGGGTTTTGAAAGATTCATCTTCAGCAAAAAGCTGTGGGAAGCCGAGGCCATAGGTCAGCCTCCTGAAGCTTGCATGTTGCAGCTGCGGAACCAAGAATCTTGTGCTATTGTGCCTTGGTTGTTGAAGAAACATAAGGAACCTGGATTGCTTTTGCAATCTACCAGTTTTATCCGGTTTTCACCTTTCAGAACAAGAAGCAGAATTTGCTGACGCTGATGCTCTGCTTTAGTCATCTCTAATTCTCTAATCATGTCTAGACTGTGGAAGTCTATACAACAGCTGAGGCAAATCAAATAAAAGTTGGTTATCAGTCGAGATGGAAATTGCGTGACACTGGTCGGTTCTGGGGTAAGATGTAGCAAGTATCAATCAGTATCATTTGAATTCATTTATATCATCTGCATTCATCTGCTACGTCGTAGTGCTACGTGCTGCTTTTCTCATCTTTTCTCAATGCTCGGTTGAGACATGTTGAGGCCTTTGCCCCGCTTCCCTCCGTGTGTCCGCCTTCAGGTGCCCAAGCCTGATCGGATCATCGTCATCCTTTCAATCCACCTGGATGATGAGACAGATGTGGCGCTTGGAAGGGCCTTCTGCCACTTGGCTCCAGTGGTCCTTTGTATGATTTGTATGATTTGTATGATTTGTATGATTGATTTGTATTGATTTGTCGATGTGGGGATGCGCCAGTATTGACGGGACATGATGGGACCACCTTTGAGAGGACGAACATCCATTCACAAGCTTCAGAATCTGACCGTACCTATGCCCAGAACTGTGAACACCTGCATTTCATCACTGAGGCCAAGAGTTTGCTGAAACAAACCGCCACATGGCTGCAGATTTGTTTTTTCAAAATGGCCAGAGCCAATTTTGATTCTTGCCTGGACACTTTAGGAGAGCATCGTTCCAAAATCTCCACCTGCTTAGAAGAGAGACAATTTTCATATACTAACTAACCACACTTGCTTCTGCTGTATGCAGATCAATAAATGAAGGACTGGGAACTTTCATGATCTTTCAGTGTTCCGAGTTTGTTTTCACGAACGCTAGCACCGGATGAGTAGGGCCCCGGTCTCTCCCGCGTTGGATTGATGTTTATTCACGACATCACCACCGCCGCCGCCGCCCCCACCACCACCGCCGCCACCACCACCACCATCATCGTCCTCGTCCTCGTCCTCGTCCTAGTCGCCGTCGCCGTCCTCCTCCTCCTCATCATCATCATCATCATCAGTATCAGTAGCAACATTGATCAACATTGGTTTCATGTTGACTCCGCACGGGCACTGCTTTCAACAAGAGATACAAACATATGCAGTGCATAGATGCAACGGTTTGTTTTTAATACCTCCTAGATGCAGGTGAAGTTTTGACGTTTTATGATTGCTACATATTGCTCCACAGGTTTTTCCAGCAGTGATTCTTGTGTTTCAATTTCTGGGGGAAGTGAATGGGAGTGATACGTCTTTTATGTTCCGAGCCCAAAACTGGAGCGGAACCAGACCGCTGGAACCCTGGGCTCGAATCTGCATCCTCTTGGTTGTACCCACCTTGCTAGCTTTTGTTCCTTATTCTTTGGCCCCAACCTTGGACAAACCCTTCTGGGCTGGACCACACATGCACAGTTTAGTTTAGAATGCATTTTTGGATTTTTTGGGTTTGTGAAGAATTGTGGAGGGCTTTTCTGCGATTCCAGGCAAAGGCAATGAGTTCTCCTTGCCGTGCGGAAGCCTGTTGGGACAGTCAGGGTAGCTTTCAATCAAAGACTGGCGAGGAGTATCTCAGCAGCAGCTTTGAGATGAATAAGTCCGAATAAGATCCAGAATCTAGATCAGCAAGGCGTGCAAAGGGATGTCATATTGATTCCACTATGCAGCATTTAGCATAGCCAGCATAGCAATCAAGTCTGCATGGATTGAGGAAGCCCTGCGCGAGATATCCTGCATGCTTGGCCAATTTGATTGATCACGCAGCTTTTCATCCGATATACATCTATATACCGTACGTAAAATTTCATCGAGACATATACTGAAACCAAGCGGAATGTGTTTGTTGAGGAGTTTCTACATGCCTCAGCAGCATGGGTGAATCACCCACCCTTTGTTATGAGGTTGTACAAAGATGTATAGTGCTTGTCTCTGAGCATACTGTGCACTGTACATGAATGTACACGATGCATTGAAATATATGTAATTATATATATATTATATGTATACTGTATAATCATATATATATATATCATAGGGCTGCAAATTTGCACAGAGCGTGCTCTTCACTATATTCATGGCTCCAAATTATGTCGCTCTTGTGGCTCAGCTGCGGATCCGCGGGTCATTCAGCCGGAACCGCCAACCGTAGGCAGCTGAGGCTGCCGTTTCACGTTGCCGGACCTTGGCAGACCTTTGTTGAGTCCAATCAAACATAATCAAACTAACAGTTGCATTACAGTTGCATAGAATATCATAGGGTCATAGGGTCATAGGATCATGATTTTCTTTGACGGTTTGCAGTGTTGCAAAAAGTGGGACAGGGTTGTCACAGTGCTTCAACCTGTTTCCTGCATACTGTGGAGTTAGCGGACAACTTACCGAGGCAATGAAGAGAGCTGCGGCGTTCTCCGTAGCTTTCCTCCTGTCCGGCATCCATGCCGAAGGGGCACCCAAGCAGTACCCTGTGACGAAGGTGCCGAGCCCTGTAGTGGAAGTGAAAACCATCGACGAGCGAAGGAGTCCAAAGGAGTCCATACGTCATGGTACTTCTGATGTTGGAGATATTGACCTCTTTTGGGTGCGGTCAATGATTTGGAGTGGTTGAGAATGGTTGTGATTCATTTGTGACATATTCAGATGCTTGATGAATCCTGTTAGTCCTGTTGGCCAGCGCTTCGGCCGGGCAAGTTTGCTTTGAGCTGTTAGGTGGTGAACCTTCTGGAAGATATGAAAAAGAAGCTGGAGGCTGAGGCCGAAAAAGATGAGGACGTGGACGAAAAGATGAAATGCTGGTGCAAGGTGCGGTCAAGTGGAGTTGGATGGGGTCAGGATGTGTTGGTCAAAGGTTACCCGTTTGCACACCTCAGCCTACCCTGCCTACCCTCAGTCTTTGAGATCTATCACAGGAGACGGAGCAGACCAAGACTGAGCTCCTTGGCTTGAAACTTCCTTGGTGCAGATGCAACAGAGCATAATGCATAAGATTTGAGAGTTTCAAAAAAAGGCATCACCAACAATATCCGATATTCTTCGCTTGGCTTTACTTTGATCCTTATTCGAATGAAAACCAAAAGGTTCAAAGTGCGGATCCGAATGTCCCGCCGTGACTCCTTGGAACGTCAGTTTCTACAGCTTCCAGGAGCATGGCAGGCACCGAGTCCCAACTCACCACACTCAGCGCTTTGATCGAGACCAGCGCGGCCGATTCCGTGCGCCTCTCTTCAGAGATCAGCGGCCATGAAGGAGACCTGGTGACTCGGCAAGGAACAGATTGGAACAGATTGGAACAGATTGGATTGGGAGTAGAGCGAGTAGAATCAAGATGCAAATTTCAAGGAATCAAGATGAATCAAGGTGAATCAAGCAGCAAAACACTGGGTCCTCACATTAGTTGAACGCGTTTGTGGAGGTGGGTGTTACTATGTATCAGTAGTATGGTTCCGTCACAGTTTCTCGACATGTTCCATTGGCCGTGCCGTGATGAGGGTTGCTGGTGTTCTGCGTCCTAACAATCTGTGTCTTGACTGAGACCTCCAGTGAAAACTCCTTGAGCGCAGCAGAAGCTCAGCGGAAGAAGCAGCAGGAGACCTTTGAAGAGGAAGAGAAAGAGATCGAGGAGCTCGATGGGACGGTGAAGGAATTCGAAACTATATAACTGACGCGCATGTTGGTCAGAACAAGATATGATAGGATCGTTGTAGTCATTGTAGTCTTCTTGATTTGTTCTTTGCGGCTTTCAAATTTCAAAGGCACCCCAGTTCATGGTGACCTTTGCCATTAGGGTTAGGGAATCGACTGTTGGTCTACAGTGTACAGCCTTGATGTGGCCAGGAGTCTCTGACTGGCGTTGACGCAGCGTTGGACCATCTGCAACCCAAATCTGCATCCTTCCTTGCGACAGCCGCTTGGATTGGCTTTCCTGACCCTTGCCGTTTGCAAAGGACACATGGCCTTTGGGCTTCGCACATGCATAAAAGTATATGATGAGGAATAATACATGTCACACATATATATATATATATGTATATATATATATACATATATATATATACATATAATATGTGTATATAATGTAATTATGTGTATATATATATACACACACTCACGTATACATATATCATTATATATATATATCATATATATCATTATATATATATATCTATGTATATATATATATATACACATATATATATATACATATATATATATACACACATAAATAAATAATGATATTATATGTCTGCCTGGCTGCCTGGCTGCCTGGCTGTCTGGCTGTCTGGCTGTCTGTCTGGCTGTCTGGCTGTCTGGCTGTCTGGCTGTCTGGCTGTCTGGCTGGCTGTCTGACTGTCTGACTGTCTGTCTGTCTGGCTGTCTGGCTGTCTGGCTGTCTGTCTGGCTGTCTGTCTGTCTGGCTGTCTGTCTGTCTGCCTCTGTGTCTGCCTGTCTGTATGTACGTACACGAAACATCCAAGGATGATGAAGATTTGTAGAATGATTGAGCCAGCGAAACCAGGGTGACAATAGCGCATGCAGGTTGATTGGGGGACCCAGAAAGGACAATGAGGGGGTTTTGGCAACCAAACAAATTGTTACGCCGCCCCATCTAAGGCCAGCGACGTTAAGGAGCAAACGCTGGACTTGACGCTGGGACTTGAGCGCTGAGACTTCTCGATGGGGCTTTCATGTGTTTTGTTCAGCTACAATGCTACAGCTGCTCTCAGCTACTTGTGAAGAACTTCGGAACATCCCAAATCCTTGTGACCGATCCAAGGATTAGAAGGCTTCAGCGCAAGCACTACGCTCAGCAGCTCCCCAGCAGCATTAGCATGGGCAGCATCTTGTTGTTTGCTGCAGCCAGGGCGAGGGATTTGCCAAACAAAAAACAATTTGTTGCTCTTCCTGGTTGTCGGTCAGTCTGTTTGCGAGGAGTTGGTCCAATGAACTTGTTCAACTTTTCGCATTTTCAATTCATACTAAGACAGATCATAGACCAGCATCATGGGTGGCGCAGCCACCTGACACCAAGATGAACCAAGGATGGGCCTGACTGCGGGAAGGCGCAAGATCTTGCTGGCATCTACTGCCGCACGCTTGGATGTTGATGCTTCGGAGTCCCCTGCCACAGGTGGGCACGCGGGCGTCGGGTGGAGCGTTGTTGGAGCTTTCGGAAGGAAACCTTCAGCAGTCTCTCAGAATGAAAATGTTGCAGTATGCCGCAGAAAGTGGCCCCTTTCCTTCAAGCCTTTGCCAATTCAAACATCACTGATCCAAATATTGCTCATAGCGGAGCTCTTACGCCATTTTCAACCTGAACAGGAGAAGTGTTGGCGTGCTTTCCTCCATGAAGGACGCTGTTTTATTTCATTTCTTGACAGAAATCTTGATTGCTGAGGCTATGAATAAGCATCAACAAACACACATTGCCAGTAGTACCCGGCTGCGCTGGGTTACCCGGCTGCGCTGGAGCGGAAGTTTTGAGAATATTCGGTGGCTGAAGGAAATTCAAACCCTACACACACTGTTCAATGCCACAGGTGTTTCATTGAATTCATCACTGCATTGCTGCTTGAATGAATGAAATGAAATGAATTGAAAGGACATGAACATGAAATGACATGAAAGACAATTGCATGAAATGAACGTGACATGAAATTGACGGAAGTGAGATGAAAGGACATGACATGAAATAAAAGGAAAGGAACGGAACCAGAGGAAGTGAATCAAAACGAAATGAAAGGAAGTGAATCGAAAAGAATAGAACCGAACCGAAACGAAGCCGAAAAAAGGAAACGAAACGAAGGAAACGATGCCA